AATGTAAAGAGATAAATGGCGTAATAATGTTGACAATAATATTGAGTTTATTTCACTGTTTGCTCGATCAACATTTGCTTCTTTTTCTTCATTCCCAAATCCTTGTTATTGTCATTAAAAGCTGGCATTACTATTCCCATTATAAGATGTTCTTTAAAAGAACAGTTTAAAAATGGAGACTTTGCGTGCAAACTTCGCAGCAATGCATAAATAGCAGCAATTCGCGAGGTTATTTGTATTATTATTATTATTATTATTTGGTTTAAAATATTCATCATCATCATTCATCATCTTTCTTCATCTGGTCTGCAGTGAAGAATGTTTATAATCATTATCATTTTTCATTATCCTTATTATCATGATTAATATTATTATTATAATTATTATTATCAAATTAGATGTTGGGTACTGTTATTATCACTATTGTTATCATCATTATTATTATTTTGTCATTATTATCATATTATTGTGTTTATCAAGAATTATCTAATAATGTCTGCGATAGAGAATGTTTATAATCATCATCATTTTCATTAGCTTTATTATCATGATTAATATTATTATTTTAATTATTATCATTAATTAAGATGTTGGGTACTAATATTATCATTATTGTTATCATCATCATTATTATTTTGTCATTATTATTATATTATTGGGTTTATCAGGTATTATCTACTCATCATTCATTTTCATAATGTCTGCGATAGAGATTGTTTATAATTATTATCATTATTAATATTATTATTAAGTAAGGTGATGGGTACAATTATGATCATTATTATTATCATCATTATCATTATTCTGACATTATTATTATATTATTGGGTTTATCAAGTATTATTTATTCATCTTTCATTTTCATAATGTCTGCAATAAAGTATGTTTATAATCATTATCATTTATTCATTATCCTTATTATCATGATTAATTTCATTTTACTATTATTAATTAAGGTGTCGGATCCTATTATGATCATTATTATTATTATCATCATTATCATTATTCTGACATTATCATTATATTATTGGGTTTATCAAGTATTATTTATTCATCTTTCATTTTCATAATGTCTGCAATGAAGAATGTTTATAATCATTATCATTCCCCTTTTGGGTTATTACTGTGACATTGTTTTTATCGTTGTTTGTTGTCACCCCTTTGGGGTGTTTTTCTGTGATATAGTGTTTATTTTCTTGTGCCGTTATATATTTCTATCTAGTGTATTCATACCTTTTTAATATCCATTTAGACTTGATATAAGTTTTTTCGTATTCATGCTTTATAGTCCGTTTTGGTGCTGATGTACCATAATACATTCCATTTCATTTATATAAAGGGAGAGGTGAAATTCAGTTCTATCGGCTGATATATGAAATATTTCGACGATATACCTTTAATCCAGTTAGAAATGGATGAAAGCAGATTGCATAGCAATCGTCAAGTTCTTGTAGTTTATGAGGTAGTTGTTGATTAGACAATATATTCTGACGATGAAAATGTTCGAATTATTGGAATGGAATGAAAAGTTGAAAAAAAGAGATAGAAAAGTTCATTAGTTTGAACACAAGAAATGGATAAGTCTCAAGTACCGTTAGAACTGTAGGCTATTGTTTTATCACATCAATAAATTTCATATCATTGCATCCCCGGGCCCACTTCTAACTCCTACCGATCACCACTGTTTACTAAACCTTTGACATTGTTTACAAATCTGTTCTATTTCTCTTTCTGTAACAAGACTTGTAGAAACTAACATGGCCGCTAGCTCATTCTTGACTTGTAATTTCGGTCCAAGTTTGAAAATCCTCGAGGCTGGTATCATATTTTGTGTATAGTCTGTGTACTCATGACCCCCTCTGGCTTACGTACACACAACGTGGGAACAATACCGACCACTTGCACGATATTGGATAAAATGAATTAACCCCACTTTGAAGATGACGTATCTTGCTGACAATTTTAGATATAGAAAAATATAATGTTACCCCTCAAGGTTGAAATTTCTAGAAAGTTTAAAAACAGCCGATGTGAGTCCTTGCAGATAGTTACATAGAATTGAAACAAGTGGTCGATAAGAGACGAACAAACTTAATAATATTTTCTCAAAATTTTCCCCATTGGAAACTCAATGAAGAATTTTAACTTCTTGCGATAAAATCATTGAAATTAATATTGATATAGGGGTCCCAGACGAGAATTATCGTTTAATTTCATTTTAATAATACATTCCAGACGAAATTAATTACATTTTTTATTCAATCTAAATATGTCTTTGTACTTTAATAATAAGATCTAAGAAGCTATATTGTTTCCATTGAGTAAGAAAATTGTGTTCAGAAAAATATGTAATTTTTAATTATGGTACAGGAAGATTTTTTAACGTGACTTCGAACTTTGCAAACTCTATATCGAAATTCCCACTATTGAAATAAGGTTCTTTTCCAAATCTAATGGACGTTTTCACTTGTTTAATTCCGAATTTGAAGCATCCTCGTCCATTTTCATCGAAAAGATCTTATTTTTACCTTTCCGAAATTACTTTAAAAGGATAGATGCGCCATTTTTTTTTACCAATCATCTTTTAATCTCAGAAACGGATTTTTTTTTAGCCAAGCCAATCAGTAATAGTGTCCACAGCTCACTGTCGAAATTTGAGCCTCAAATCCATGTGTGTCCAGAATAATCTGTGTTTGAAATTTAAAAAGACGAATCGTCTTTTTTGAGACACTGTCATATATATATAAAATACATCTATAAAAATAGGAAAAGAAATTCCTAGTTTGAGATATTTTTAAAGGAATTTTCGTACATTTCTATAGTTCTTATGAAGACTATTTACATATATTCAAGACTCAAATCAACCCCTCAAAATGGCGCATCTGTCGTTTTGAATCGCATTCGAAAAAATTCAATTTCTTAGCGGAATGACATCTTTAAACTAACACTAATACTAGTTATAAGAGTGTCAATAAAAACTATGATTAATGTTAAACAAGTTTTATTTTTATTCTAATATTTCTACAATAATTAACATAGTCGAACAATTTCTATTAATATTCTTCAACAGTTTAAAAGTATCCATGTGCAAACACCAACGTTTCACAAGTCTAATGAACATGCAAGCGCTCGTCCGTCTGTCAAGTTTTCGATATTAAAATGTGCAATTGTTGACAGAAACAGGGGCCATCTGATCACGTTGGCATCTTGAGATATTCTACATTATCGGCACATCGGGTAGAAAATAGTGCGCACGAGCCAGCGAGGTTGTGCGGCACGCTTAATACGAATCAATAATGAGCTTAAACTGGTGTCCATTGAGTAAATTATGAAGAAGGCGGAATTGAAAGACAGCTTCAAGGAGCTTGGTAAATAAATATTTCCACTACAATTGTTAAATTGCAAGTCTTCAGAAGTTAGGGCGTTTGATAACATGATGAATAGCTAATTACACTATAATTTCTTGCCTATTTATTGCTCAATATTAATACACTTATTAACAAAGACGTTTCGTTTTTTATTTGGACTTGTTAAAAAGGCACTTGATAACAAATTACTCATAATTTTTCTTTCATTTTCAAACAATCTCGTCCAATACAAACAAATTATTTCTGATCATTACTTTCAAACGATCGGAAAATATTGTCAAATCTTTAAGATTTTTTCCACAATTTGGACGCTATTTTCCCAGACTATTTTTTCGTTTTTTTGGAAAACACACACTTGTTTTGGAGTTGATAAATCGTGTTATCATCACCGGATTCTGGTCGAAAATTAAAAAAATTAAAAACTTTATAGTGCATTCTTTAATTATCAAATTTTTTCATCGAGAATCGTGAACTTGTCCGTTGGTATCATCCCCTAGCTAGTTACAGAGTTTACCTTTAATTTTAGATCATTTATTAAATAGAACACGATTAAATATTGAACATTAAAAAATTAAAGGTGATAAGGGGGCGACTTTAACGATGTGGATGTGATTTTGGAAGAAGAGGAACGTATTAGGTTGATTGAACTTTACCATTAGGCTTCTCGGTCGCAAGAGAAGTTGATTTGCATTAAATACTAACATAGATATTGGTGGGCCTAAGTAACTTCTGGATTAAGTTTGGTGTCTTAAATATTAATTTAGAACGAATGCCTGGATTAGCCTACATTGATTCCTCTGAAATATTCAACTTCAAATTTCATACAAATGCCCACGTCGACATTCGAAATAAAGATAACTGTCGAGGGATCTTTAACATGCGCAGTGCTGTAGCATACAGGGACTTGATTTTTCTCCTATCTGAACGATTCGACGTGCGATTAAAGGGACATAATAACATTAACAATATTATTGTTTCAAAAATGTCTATAGGATGTAAAGATCATAAAATTGGGAGACAAAATAAAAATCTCGGTGCTGTGCTGTTAATTATAATTTTCACAGATACTCTTGTAGAACTTTATAGTTAGACCGATGCTGTATGGGCCGTGCTGGTGCACCTAAATGTATTTTATGTCATAATTATGATGGGCCAATGTGAACATACTGTATAAAGGGAAGCAACCTTAACTGAAGATTACAGACAACAACTAAGTTTGATATACGTAAATTCGCTGCTTTTCTAATAAATTAATAAGGTAACATATAGAGTGTTAAAATTAATAAACACCAGGACATTGAACCAAGGACTTACGCAATGCCCTTAAATGTTTCACAGCCTTTCAAAAACAACAATGTTTGTTTCCATAGTAAGATAACATAATATATAATTTCATCCATCTCTCATTTGAACATAATTATTAGGTATAGATTTCATGTTATTATCACCACTATTACTGTGAATTTTCTCAGTTAAAACACTCACACATAGTTTATTCTCAGTGTTTCTCTCAGTGTCAGAAATAGATGGTGGATTATTCTCTTCATTATCACAGTTATCACTTATCTCAGTAATAGTTACTGAGGATTCTTTTAGTTGAGATTTTTTCTCACTCTCAGTTTTTCTAGTTAATAGTTCACGTGCCCAATTTAGATCATCTTCCCACAGTTCCTTCTCTCCTGGATTCATATGAATTGCTCTTGAAAAATCTTTTATTGCCTGAAAAACCAAATAATATGGCAATGCACTGGTACCAGATATATGTGAATTTCTGAAGACGTTATTTTACAAAACCTGCAGATTTGTGTTCAATGGGATAAGGATTCTGTCACAGCTTTTGTTTGTAGCTAGCCTATTCACTTAATTTTTCTAATGCAATTTAAAATATGTAAACATACGACATAAAATAAAATCTTAAATACAAACCATTTTCACCTCTCCCATATTTAAATGAGCACGACCTAATGTCTGATATCCTACCCACCATAATGAATCTATCTCTATCACTTTATTAGCTACTGTTAATGCAGGGAATAATTCATTTAAATTGATCAAAGCCTGTAACAAAATACTGAAATTACCAGTCCAAAATTAAAATGTCATTCCAATTTTCAAAAGACTGTGGCTCTTGGAATTCCACTAAAACTGAGCGTTTTATGACGTCATTATCACAATATATAAATAGCTTTTGTGATGTCATAAAATGCTCAGTTAGATTGGAATTTACACAGACATCTGATTGGCATTGGTGCAGATCTATGCTATTAGTGTCCCTAATACTCATACACAGTTTAGAAAACCTCTTTACAATCCCTTTTAAGTGAATAACCTTAGCTCCAGAAGACTTTTGAATTTAACAGCATATCAAACTAATTACAGCATTATTCTCAACATTTCACATACCTGTGCCTTCATTTCATATAAAGTAGCATCTGTAGGTGTTAAAACAATAGCTTCATCCCATTTTGTGATAGCTTCCCAAAATCTATAATTGTATATAAGATCCAATCAAATTATGGGAAATATTTTAAAAAGGCATAGAAATATATCTGAATCTAACATGAAGGAAGGGTTTAGTGGGTAAGAGAAGCCCCAAATGAAATGTCTTTAGGAGGATCAGCACCTAATGTGCCATATAGCACCTAATAGAATCCCCAAAATCAAAATCATCTTTTCAGACTACTTTATAGGTAAGCTTACTTTATAAACCATTAATCTTTGAACAAGATACATGACATCTTACCTTTCTGCTTCAGCTAGAATTATCCCTTCTTTTTTTAATCTTTTACTTTTCCCAATATTGTCCTCTAGCTTGAGAGATTTATTTTTAGGTAATAAATTTAACCAATCAACATCAGCTTCACAATCTTCTTCATCTTTAGAATTTTTACTGAATGATGTTGTAGCTTCCTGTACTACCTTCTCACCAACTTTTCTCTTCCAACCAAATGAAGTCATGTTTTATCAAGTTGACTGTTCACGGGACATTATTGTGACATTATTGTGATATATTTGTTAAATCTGTACCCGGTATATAGAAATTTGGAATAAACCTTAAAATCTAAGATGCTAAGCTCTTTTATGTCATTAAAATAAAAAAAAAAAAACAAAGATAAGAGTGTAGCCTAGGTCTGAAAATTGCTGGCTTTGTTCTTCTAGACCTAGTTTTATTTGTAACGGTAGATTAAATGTATTTTCCAAAATTAGATACCGTAACTCATTTACTACTTCTGGCTTTAAAGTAAATTGTTGAAAAGTTCTGTATAGTGAAACCAAGTGGTGATATGGTTTTGGGATTATGATGATTTAACTGAACTAACTACAAAAACATCACCGGGCTGAACTTAGCATACACATTCAACTAGCATACAGATTCGGGTCGAATCGTCTCGGCATACACATTCGCGGCAAATCGACCGATAAGAAATCTGACATTGTCTCCCTTACTTTTTGTACGGAGGCCCATTGAAGACGTACACTAATCGAAATATATGGCCTATATGAGTATATTACTCAGAGTTTACGGACAATTTGCGAGGCTTAGCCGTTATAGAAACTTTTTGAAATTCATTCCATACTATCTCACACTAGTCCTCATTCGAAATATCAAATCACCAAGTTGCTGTCTCCACTATCCTGACTGTTAGGCTACCTTAAATATGGAAAAGTAACTGCAATAATTGACTGCACAGAAGTTCAGACTGAGAGGCCATCTTTGGACAGTAGTAGGCTACCAATTCAGCAATGTATTCCAACTGTAAGTCAAGACATACATACAAAGTTTTAGTGACCTGCACACCAGGAGGTACAGTATCATTCGTTCCAACACAGTAGGGGGGGATTCGATGTTGAACTTGTTAGAAGATGTGGTATTTTAGATTTGTTTGAAAGAGGAGATAAAGTTATGGCAGATAAGGGCTTTAATAATAAAGATGACTTTCCACTCGGTGCAAGGAAGAACATTTAGTTTAGAGAATCAAAAAATGTCAGCAATACTGAAATATCGAATGCTCATGCAAATTCATGTTGAACGTGTTATTGGACGAATGAAAGATTTTCAAATTTGAACAGGTAGGCTATGGTTTTAGCGACAGTTTCAACTTCCTTTTCCATGTAAATATTTTCAATATCAGGATTAACCGCATTTTGCTCAACACTGCTTCTTGGAGAATTTAAAAGTACACCACAATTTCCATTTGTTATCTCTCTTAGCCTATTTAAGTCAAAATCTGATAGTGTTTTTCCTTGCGGTAGCAAAATGCTCTGGGTTCAAATGTCAATCGAGTTTCCACGAGTTTTCTTGAGTAGTATCAAATCTACCTGTAACCTTTTTCACAACAAGATTTCTTACAAAGTCAGGTTGTGTAACACTTTTCCCTTGAACATGTGGTTTGTTTGGGATGTACATGCTTTGTTGCATCCCGACTCTATTTGCCTAACAATAAAGTGCAACAAGGCAACGCAATGTTTGCAATACCCTCGTAGACCTGCTAGACTTGCAGTAAATTCTTTCCACTTTTCCTGTTCTCTTCTGAAGGACTGTCCATACACTGTCCATACAGTATATGGTGCTTGTGTCTGTGCCTTTTGTCAAGCAACAATAGCCTTTACATAGCAGTAAGATATATTT